TAAGTAAAATATGGTATATGTTCAAACATTTTTATTGAAAACAAAAGCGTATTGTTGTACAACGTTATGAGTAGTCTACAGGTGTTTCAGCATTATTCGTCATAATTTAATTGCAATTGTAATGTTATTATGTCATCTGAAAAGAGCTACAAAAGAACGACAGGTGATATTTTAATTATAAGGTACATGTACCTAATTGCAAATGCATTTAAAATCAAACAGGCTTCCTCAAATAACAAAGTATGCACATTACAAATATATATATATATATATATATAGAAAACAGAGTTTGACAGGAATAGCACTCCATGTGTTATTCATTTTCATAACGCTTGTTGGACTATTGAGAATCAAAAAATTATTGTAAATTCCAAAATGTAAAGAAAAAATGCGTTACTATATCTGAAAAACTTGTTTTTACACAACTAGCTACTTCAAGCTGAATTTACAGTCGTGTTCTTTAACACCGAAAACTTTACCTATAGATAAGTCAAAAACGGCAATCACCTTAAGGTCGTATGTACGTGTTCTTTCTTCCTTCTATAACGCTTTTGTACCTTGTCTCTCATGTCGTGAGTATAACCTTGAGTAGCGATGTCATACAGTCTGGAAAGGTCTTTTTCGTTGACAGATGATGAAAGGAATCAATAGGTAATGCACCTGAAGTTTGAAAACCTTATGTATCTTACTTCGTACGTAACCATAAAACCGGCACTTCAGAAGTGCTCGTTTTGATGAAGTGCCAAGTAGTGTAGGATTACTGACAACTTCAGGTGTCATGATGCACGACAAAATATATCGCATTGACGTTTTAGGATCATCACCCATTAAACGCGTCAAAATGGCCATCTATAATACGAACAAATGACCGAATTATTGTTGTGTGTTTACAAATCTGTCCCTTACATTTTCTGCTCTAGACAAGCGTCCAATGTTACCAGTTCCTCTTCAGATGACTTGGGGAACTGTTGACTTGATAGTCCTCAGTCAAATTGACGAGGATGTTCGCACTCAGCGAACTTCGGAAGCAGCTGCTTTATATTAGTACTCAACTCACTAATACTTGACTATATATTCAGCAGCACCGTATGCAGTCTATCAAATCTGAAAAATTGAATTTCATCGTACGGGTGACTTACTCGGCCGCTAACGCACTGTCTACACGGCTATAATCGGACGTTGAAAGCCAGATGTTTTAGTTAGTCGAACCACTAATTTACATCTACAAAGCAAAAAACGCACTTGGCAATTGGAGAGACAACACTGTCAAACAACTGAAACCTGGGATATCGGACGCGGCTATTTCCTGCCTGCATCTCTGCGACATCCATGTCAACCGAATTATAAAGAAACCCTTCTCTAAGCTTCAACGTACCTCTACGAAACTTTAGTAAGATTATTAAACCGAGCTTCACTGGCTACCTGGGTTCTGTTACTCGATATGCAACTTGAAGCCTATCGCGGAATGACACTCTTTCCGCGTCGCGCTGAGGTGCTTGCTTATCAATTGAATACCCACTACGTACGGATTTCTCAATTCGTCTGATATAAGACTCGAATGGGAATGCTGAATAAGTACCTAAAGGTTCATGCTCAAGAACATCGTCAGGAGGATGCTTTAACGAATGCACATTATAAACTAAGTTTTCGCACCCATAACACCATTCATATTCTCTCAGGAAATTCCTTAAATCCATCCTGGAAGATTCTATAACCCCATTGTGTAATTTAAGATGCACAAGCAAATAAAGTGATAGAGCTAGACGTTTGAAATTTAGGTACAAAGGTTTTGGCAGAGTAGTTTGCAGTATTACTGGGCCTAAATATATAAGAAGCAACCTACACTCCGACGCTTTCCATACCGATACGGAGTCAAGTGTAAGGCATTTACGCTGAAAGTCGGACGGAATACTTTCCACGCAACAAGATCTTTACTGATTTATTCTCCTAATTACACATGATTCTAAGTTCATCAGTCTTTTATGTGCTCATTTTGTCCAGAGAGTCACAAGTTTTTCGGTGACACCTAAGTACGCCATGTGCATTGGATCTAATGGGAAATTTGAGATCGTGTTAATTGAAAGGCTTTCGAACATGGAATGTTCTTGATGGTGAATAGATTGTGTCTGATGTAGGAAGCTGTCGTCTGTTCTTGACGTATATTCACTAGCTAAGACATTCACCTTACCATCAAATCGTCTACCAACTACAACACATCTGTCGCAACCTCCCTTTCCGTTGTGATTAACCGTGTATCTAACATCCGAACGAGCAGGTGCATCACATATTGCAACAGTTAACTTAATAGCTATGTATTTGTTGAACTTAACACTAAGCAGACCCGTATCAGTCACTTATCCTGTTTATGACTTCATAAGAGATATCAAAACTTCCTAATTATAACTTTACACCCACGTGAGAGACCTTGCCAAATGCCTTACTTAAATCTATGAAAATTACATCTAGTGGAATATTCCTTTTATAATGAGCGGGTTTGTCAAACAAGATAGGCCATTCCTAAAATCATATTATTCCCTAGATAAAAGATTGTTCCCTTCCACATAATTCTAAAATAGTCATCCGAATAGTCTCTCACTAGCTTGACAACTACACTGGATAAACTAACGGATCGATAGTTACCTTCTCGCTTTATGAACCGGACTAATTATTACGTTCTTTTGGTCTCCTGGAGGTTTGGGCTGCCATAATGAAATATTAAACAGGATCGCCAGAAGTTTATCAAATAAATTCTCCAGGGTTTTCATAATCGTAGAATGAATGTCGTCAGAGCCACTGGAGTTATCTGATTTGAGATGTTAAAGTAATCAGAAGATAGTTTCTTTCTCAATAACCTCAGTCTCCACCGTCAGGTTGTCATCATAAATGATTATTCCCCTCTTACCATTTTCAGCAGGAAAAAATACTGAAATATTTTGATAAAGCTTCAGCTTTTGCAATATCATTTTCTGCCGATTTCAACGGATTTTTTTGAACTAAAAGCAGTAGAATCCCAGCACTTCTGTGATCTCGCCTGTTTATGTACAAAAACAACCTTCCCGGACTATTTTCACGAACCCTAACCAGTTGTTTTTCATATAGATGTCTAGCTTTATCGACACTTTGCAGGGGTTCGTAGTCTCACAGTAAGTGAACCTGTACTGTTCAGAGCCTGGGAAAATAAACATACTTCTATGTCTTTTCCTACGTCTACGGATTTTCTTGACCTTTTTGGTTATCTATAGTGAATAGCTACTTAATCTCCATGGAACTAAGCATGGTATAAAAGGCCGGGGTACCTCGCTTGTCCTACGCCCCGACAGTGTTCTCATGAATCTCAAGCTGCCTAATCTTCTAAGGGCGATAAAACAGTGCATGACGTTATTGTTGTGTGACAGGTTCAAAGATAATTGTTTGCTATGTGCATTCAAATCCGCCCTGTTATTGTTCCTATGCCCCAAATGCCCTTATAAGGACGAGAGTGGAAGAGGGCAGCTCTCTCTCTCGAAATGCTCTCACACTGCCTCGCGTATATCGCCACTAACAGGGAAGTCCTGCTTACTGCTTTCTCGTGGTGAGGGTGTTGTTTACGAAATTTAGGGGACGAAAAGTGAATGCCTGGTGCTTTGAACAGGTCGGTATACAAGGAGGGTCCACCTAGGGGAAATGAAAAGCCGTGATTCCTAACCAATGGTGCACATGGTCTCCAGTATCCCGGGGGAACAAATGCCATATGAACCTAATATTGGTCACCAGCTACTTTGGGACTATATCTCTACTGCCTTGTAGGTCAGACCTTTAGTTCAAAGGCTGGGGAAGGGGCTCTCTAGGATAACCATTTGCTTCAGTCTGGGCACCTCGGCAGTATCACGGCCCTCACACAAATCTAATGAGATGACAATTACTTCACGAAATGCCATTCGTGCCTCAGTTATAATTCAGGTAATTCACATTCACTTGATAACACTCATTTTTATTAGGCATAGAAGAGAGTCGTTTAGTCAGGCTGTAAAAGGTCGGATCTACAACGCGTCTGTGAGAGCAGTTTTGCTCTATGCTTGTGAAACCTGGCCTCTCCGAGTTGACGATGATAGACGTCTCTCTGTGTTCGATCATCGTTGTCTCCGAAGGATTGCTGACATCCAGTGGCAACACCACGTTAGTAATGCAGAGGTTCGGCATCGTGTGTTCGGGCGCCGAGACGATAATTCAATTGGTGTTACCATCTTGAAACACCGGCTTCGGTGGCTTGGACATGTTCTACGAATGCCGTCCCAGAGAATTTCACGTCGTGCATTATTTGCCGACTCTGAGACTGGTTGGAAAAAGTGAAAAGGTGGTCAGTGTATGACATGGTGTCATGGTATGAAAGAAAGCTGCGAGGTGCTGACTTCTGTCGGTCCTCCCCGACTCCCTGACTGTTGTCCGAGAGATGATGCAGTACAGTTGCTAGATACGTAATCAGATATGGCTCAGAACAGATGCTAGTGGCGATCCTGCTGTAGTCTTCTTTTACTTTCTTGATAGAACGTGGTTGTAGCTTTCTTGACTGAAAGAATTCTTCTGGTTGTACCTTTCCGTTTACCCCCTTATTATTACACTAACATACACTAATCTGTGGTTGTTATTGTTCTTGTTTCTTATACGCACATTACCTCCCTTTCCTCTTTCCATTCTCATTGTTTTGTGTGGTACATATATATCTGGTGCCCCCCTGTACCAATATATATGTATATATTCAAATAAATAAATAATAAAAGGGGCGTTACTAAACTAAGGGTATATTTAAATATGTCCATGCCTCAATTAATGAGCTAGTATTTACTGACTAGTCAGTTGTTGCAGTTTACTACTGGATGGCCAATATTTCACGATAAAAATATAATGTTTTCGTAACTGACACAAATTTAACATAGTGAAAATCTATTTATGAACTTGAGCGTTTTCATCACGAAATTACATCAACTATAATTCAAGGTTAAATTTTACATAGGAATCTGGTTAGTTCATTTACTTTACTTCTGGCGCCCTCCTTATTTTCTTTTGTGTGAAATTCATTCACCCATATGTCTAGACAGTACTTATATTGTAGTTGGCGTCGATCCATGGATCAAAGTACCAACTCTGTATGCCTAACCCTAGGAATAGTATAGGAACTCTTATAAATCTGTTTGGGTCAGTATACGGGTTCGAGATGGACAATCTTTATCCATTAAGACGGGTATGTTGTTTTCCTGATTTTCAACGAGTAACATGAAGAAGGCATCAATAGATTTACTGATTGCACGACTTCGGCTCACAGTTTGAAATATTGTTACTTACTTTCCCGTATGCTATCCATATACAAAAGCTATTTTCTAAGCGAATAAAGTGTTCGAAAACTCGCTGCTGTTATCTTAAGCTCGTCCGTAAATTAAGTTTCTACTATAAACCTTATTCAGCCAAATCCCAGTTTCGATAGTCAGGATGTCTTAATCATATGTTTTGTTATTAGTAATCGTTGACAGTTATCATTAAACGCAGTTGTATTCTACGTTTTTACTGAACTGTCGGGTGACTTTTTCATTGTTCTTTTCTATTCCAGATTCTCTTGGAAATATAACTCTTCATAATTCCTCAGCATACGACGTACTTTCTGGTTAGACGCAAATCTATCAAAGACTGAGCGTTACAACTTCACTTAATATCAAGTCAACATGTTCACCAAACTTAAAAGTTTAAACCATGTTTTGATATCCCAAGCGTTTCGGAGAAGCTCTATCAAAGCACATACTTTCGACATAGCGATTGTTGGAGGTGGAATTGTGGGTTTAGCAACGGCTCGTGAACTAGCACTTCGGTTTCCGAAATTTCAGTTTGCACTTCTGGAGAAAGAAGAAGAATTAGGGATGCATCAATCTGGTCATAACAGTGGTGTTATTCATGCAGGAGTTTACTACACTCCTGGCTCTCTAAAAGCTAAGCTATGCGTTGAAGGTTTGAAGAAGTCATATGAATACTTTGAAGCAAACAATGTACCTTACAAGAAATGTGGAAAATTAATCGTTGCAGTTGATGAACTAGAGCTTCCTCAACTAGAAAAGCTGTACAGTTTTGCCCAGCAAAACGGTGTACCCAATGTATCTTGCATTTCAGGTGACAAGATAAAAGAAATCGAGCCTAACTGTGTTGGTTTGAAAGCAATTCATTCTCCTGAAACAGGTATAGTTGATTGGAGAACAGTAACTTTATCATATGCCGAAAATTTCGTTGCGTCTGGTGGGATTATTTATGAGTCCTTTAAGGTGGGCGAAATATCAGAAACGAGTGAAAATGTGGATTACCCTATTTTGATCAAGAACGTTAATAGTGGATCAAACAATTCAACTCATATTTCACAGGTCACATGTAAGTATGTTATTACTTGTACAGGTTTGCAGTCTGATCGTGTTGCTAAGATGTCTGGCTGTTCTCCAAATCCTGTCATAGTACCATTTCGAGGTGATTATCTAGTTTTGAAACCTGAAAATTCTTCTTTAATAAATGGGAATATATATCCTGTTCCTGATTCTCGTTTCCCGTTCTTGGGTGTCCACTTCACTCCACGTTTGGATGGATCCGTTTTGCTGGGACCGAATGCTATCCTTTCATTAGATCGGGAAGGTTATGGACGTTTCGATTTTAACTTCAAAGACTACTTTGATCTCGCATCTAGCCCTGGACTTCGGAAACTCATTTTCCGTTATTTACGTTTTGGTGTGAATGAAATAATTGATGGTTTATTTATTCATCGTCAGGTCAAGCGGCTTAAAAAATATGTACCTAGCTTAAATGTTAAAGATGTCGTCAGGGGCCCATCTGGAATAAGAGCCCAAGCAATTGATTCAGATGGTACGTTAGTGGATGATTTTGTAATTCATTTTGGTGATGGTGAGATTGGTAAAAGAATCATGCATGTACGTAATGCACCATCACCAGCCGCGACAGCTTCTCTGGCTATTGGTTGTGTTCTGGCCGATAAAGCACAAGAGTACTTTGATTTATCTCTTGGTGAATCAAGAAGTTTTGTTTAGTACTCTTTGCATGTTCCTTGATGCAACTCTTTCCTCTTCTGTTTTAAATTCTTTCACCTAAAAGGACACGACCACTTGTTTCTTGTTCTTTCATTTTGATTTTGCGTCTATCATCTCAGGGAAATTGAACATTACTGAGTTGTTCGTGGTTACTGTAATAATAATTCTCACTCCCCTAAAGTACCTGGTTTGTATTATTACAAATGGCCAAAAATTACAATAATTCACATTCCGAAGTAATAATTTTCATTTGCCTTATTAGCTATTGCTCAATCGATCTGATGGTTCGAAATTGTATCGAACTGTGTTATTTTCTTGTAAATACTAAACATATGATACTGTATCGTAAACAGTTATAGGTACTCTTGTGGTCGTTAACTAATTATAATATAGAACTATTTCTATGAATCAACAGTTTGTTTGCGACTCTATTTTTTTATACGTAGAATGTAACCGATCAACCCAACATATCACACTCGTTTACAAACTGAGTGTTATGATGAAAAGTATGCATATTTACAATCACTTATGTATTGAATATTAGCTACATAGTGTGGTTTTACGCCTTTCTTGTGATAATCCCGAAGTATTCGTATGGTATTTCAACCAAATAATGATATGAAGAATTGTACTTGTTTATGCAGATAGCAGTTTATAACCTTCCCAATCTAATTATGGCTACTGTATTTTTAAAACAGAAGAAATGAATCCAAAATAACTACACACACTGGTTACTAGGTAGTAACCAACATAATTTAGTACTGTTAAATTTCTATCTATCAAGATTCAGTACCGCTACTCCATATTTCAGATTTAAATCCCATTAGAATCGTAATTCACGTATTAAGTTTGCAGATATACCGTACTGAATAATACCAACCAGTAAGAAGCATAGCTGTTGGTTTTCTCTCTCAATCTACTATATTAATAACATCACTAACCCATTTAGTCTACTGGTCATACTGCAAGTTGATCAAAAAAATTCATTCAGCAATCAAAGCCAGACAGAAATGACATAAGTCACTACATAGTGAGTTAGTAATATTCAGCTTTTCGCAATGTAAAAGACAGTTTCTAGATTTGTAAAGTTGGTATGATCAGTAGCATAACTTGTCACGTACACGTTAGCATAGAGTTTATTAAAAGTCCATCTATAACAAGCTGACGTTTTGAATCAACAATAAATCAATATAATCAAAGCACACATTCTTTGTTGTCTTCTGAGCCATAGTTCCGTCGTACCCTTATTGTATCGTGTTTCATGTTGGTCAATGTTTACCTTTCCATATACTTCAGTTAATTTGTTTCAATAATGAAACAAAACTCATTAGATGTTACTCAGATTTCCATACTATCCAAGCCCCGCTCTGGACCTAATATTTGCCGTTCTTTTTATTCAGATACACTACGAAAAGTTGTTAGGCTAATAGATAAAAAGGTGAACTAGATTTGTTAATTTTTCATTACTCTCATTGTTCTGATTCCAGAAGACAGCCCTATAAAAGTAGTACTTTGCAAACGGTCCAACTCTAACAACAACGTAGAAATAGGAGTACGTTGAAAACGGGAACAGTTATTCGAATTAGGATCTGTTAGACATTCCGATCACTTAGGTGTAGATGAATTACACTTTGAAAAGGCAAAAGGCTATATCGATAAAAATTTGCAAACACTTTTCTCTTGTCGTCATGAGAAACAATTTCCTCATTGTTTGTTTGGCTTTTTGTATCACACACCTGTGATGTGGAGAGATGTGGACCACTACGAACAGGCTACTTTAGGAAATGGGACATTTCTTTGTCAGTTATTGATATCGGAATGTGTAAAATTTCAGGAGATAAACTCATACGATGAATATGAAACAAAGACCACCAAATTTCATCGAAAAGAAATACATAATCAGTTGAAAAAATATTTTTAGGCATAAATATTGAGTCGAACTAAATTTCTGCTGGAAAATGTAACCGAATGGATTTCCTGTTAATGTATAAGGTGATAATACCGCCAATTAGAGAGCAGCGAATTATTGATCAGACCAATGACACAAGAAAACCGTACAAGCAGTCTAAAGTACTTGTCCGTTCTGCTTTCTGCCTAGCCCAGCCAGGTAAGTCCAGAACACCAATAACAGCCTCTGCAGTATGAATCGTTATTTTCAAACATACTGGGTTTATGTACCAAACAAGCTGACCATATCGTACCCTAAAATAGAAAATAATATTTGTACAAGATTCGGCTAAATGTGGCTGTGAAGAGGGGAGATAGTAGGTGGTAGACAGGGCATAATTCAAGAACGGTAAATTGGATGACAATAGTTCATAAGTCATAATGAGGGGGACATGAATATGAATAGTTTATTTATTTAACCACATACATATTGGTACAAGGAAGCACCAGATACACATGCGCCGCACAAATCTCATTTGATTTGTGTAAGGGCTGTAATACTGCACGGGTGCCAAACTGAGGCAGGTGGTTTTCGTAGGGGGCCACACCCAGAGCCTTTGACCTAAAGATCTGATCCACAAGGCAGTGGAACAACGTTAGGAGATACATTCCCATGGTAGCCGGTGACCATCGATTGATTCATACACCATTTGTTCCTTCAGGATACTGGAGCCGGTGTGCACCATTGGTTTGGAATGAGGGTTTTCCAACTCCTCTAGGTGGACTTTTCGTGTCCACCAACCCGGTTAAAGCGCCGGACATTCGCCTTTCGTCCTATCAATTTCGTAAACAACATCCCCCCCACGAGAAGGCAATGAGTAGGACTTCTCTGGCAGAGGTTATATACGCCCATGTGCACCATGACTAGTTTAGTTATTTTATACGATAAGAAATATATGCATAGTATCGGTTCATACATAGAACCCAAAGTAACCATTCATTATCCTTGTCGGAGGATAACAGAAAAATTGCATTAACCAGTAATACAACACCCCATGCTTTATAGTACTTCATCAAACTAAATTTGAAAATTCAAGTACATTGGTATACGTCTAGTACTATCTTTACATTTGTTGTGATGAGTTTTTTAGTTATTTAAATCATTGACATCTCTCCTCCTTTGGTGCTTTCTGATGAAATATGCTTTCGACTTTTGCATTGTTGTTTGTAATTCCTTTCAAGTATTGTTTCTGTTAATCTTATTTTCCGTTCTCTGTGTATCCGATAGGCTAGTGCCAAATTTAACTTATAAAGTCTGTGGTAACTTGGCATCAATTTGTAATATATATACAGAGCTTAAGGCGACTGCATTTTGTGAAAAGCATTGAAGCTGTTGGAAATATCTGTCTGAAAAACAACGTAATGTAGTGAACGGACATTCAGGTCGTAAAGACAAATTTATTTTTTCATGCACAATTATGCAGTAGTTTAGTAAATTATTAACATCATATGTCAAATACATCATTTGCACAACTTTCACTTGTCGTTTACATCCTTCACAATCCCTCTAATTCTGTTTTTTTACTATCATTCATTTATGTTCTCTTCAGTTCATTCTACTCAATTTCCTTTTGACAAGCATTCCACTTCTGTTTGGTATTACATATTGCTTACATCTGTCAATATAAGTAGTATACTCAGAGTGCTAGCAAATTATACAGTCTTAGTGAAAATCTAATATAGTTTATATGGTACAATACATTCATAGTGGTTGGATAGGACATCTCAAACAGTAGATGTTACAGGTATATCCTAAAGTTAATATGAACTTATATTTATTTTTAACAATGACTGAAAGTTTACCAGTTAGTTATTGTTTTAGACTTGTTTTTTCTACTTTATGACTCATTTATTTCTGATATGTACTTAACATACTGTTTATAATATGTATTGTTTGATTATTTATGTCATGGGTTTTCGTGTGATGTAGTATTTGTGCAATGGAGATGTTATTCAGAACAATATCAAAATAACAGCTAATCGATAATCAGTTGTCCTAGATGACAAAATAAAGCAACTTTTGGTGTGAAAAACTAATAAATACCATTTGATACAGTTACACCTAGTCCAGATGCGGTATGGTGAACAAGAAGTAAACTCAATGTCATCATATTTTGGTTATTAAATATGTGATCCGCTTAATGATGCACTTTTTTCGTTTTATTCTTATTCAGATTACGCTGTGTCCATATAGCATAAGAACTTCTTGATTTCCTAGAAAACATCTAGTTTTATATACTACACTTCATTCCATAGCTATTTCTGGAGTGTAAATTTTCGCATTTCGAGTTGAAAGTCAGGGAATTCATGCACCAATGCTATAGAAAATTGAGGTTAACATTGGGACAAGGCATATAAGCGAACAATATGTTTTTCAGTTAAATGTCAGACAATACTATATCGCCTACATGTGTTGGTCTGGTGAATGAAATAGCTTTTAGCATTGTGTTATCTATATTAATTTTGTCGGACTATGTTATTTACCGTTGAATTGTGTTAACGTATCCAATAATGCAAACGTGATTTTCTTATATACACAGAGGTGGTGTCCCTTGGAAAATCATTACAACTCTGGAACTCATGGACAGCTCTTTTGTTCTAGTTTAGAATTTCCAAAAAAACCACATTCACAATTTCACTTATAGTTTAGTGAACGAGAACACCAGTGGGGACAACCACATGTACTTGAACACAAAATTACAGAACATCTTAGTAAAATAAGAGAACCATACGTTGAAAAATTCATTTGCAAAACATCAATCATTTGTCTCAAACTTGACTGTTCCTTTCCCAAATATCGGTTAGTCGTCTCAGACTACATTGTTCTTTCGTCTCCACACCAGTCATTTTTTGTTGTAGTATTTCCTTCAGTCTTTTTAACCTTCTGCCGTCAGACATTTCCCTTCCGATTGACGACACCATTTATATCTGTGGACATCAGTAGCACACACCACAATAGGACCTTATTGCGAGGACAATATCATTGGAATTCAATATTTCAAGTGGCAAACTTCGGTGTCACCAGTTGATCACATCCTCTTAACCGACATGATTTGATTTCATAGGTTACTCATAACTATCCTTGGAAATAACTTAAAATGGTTATTGATTAGCACAGCAATTAATATTCACTTTTATATAATTATTAATAGAGGTTTAAACTATTCAGCACTAAATTTTGACTAATCTTTGTCGATTTGTCTTCTTCCTATGTAGATTGTTAAGATGCAGCCAATTTGTCATATGTTTAACATAATAGTTCGTTTATGGTTGTCAGTAGTATTTAGGGCGCTAGTTTAGTCCTATCTAGTACTCGTTCTAATGTGAACATCAACACTGAGATTCAAGTAAGTTCAGCTGACGAGTTATGACTTCCACTGTTAGTAGCAATTCATTTATTTTAATATCTAGTTTCAGTTATTGGCTATTTTTTTTAAACGTTATTTGGATTCCTTGTTTATTTTGTACTCTTGAAAAAGTAACTATTTGCAAACAGTTAACTACCAAATCTATAACTTATTTTTAAAAATAATAAAGTTTACGAAATAAGATATCCACTAACTAGTATATCAGCCCCCAAATGCCCTGGTACGGCCGAGAGTGGGGAGATTCCGCTTCCCCCTCGAAATGCTCTCACATGACCACGCGAATATATAGCCTCTGCCACACAAGTCCTACTCACTGCCTTCTCGCGACATTACTTTTGTTTACGAAATTGAGAGGACGAAAAGCGAATGTTCGGCGCTTTAACCGGGTTGGTGGACATGGCGAGTTCACCTAGAGGAGTTCAAAAACCCTGATTCCAAACTAATGGTGCTCCAGTATCCTGAGGGAACAAATGGCGTATGAACCAATCGATGGTCACCGGCTACCATGCGACTGCATCTCCTTACGATGCTTCACTGCCTTGTGGACTAAACCTTCAGGTCAAGGGTTCCGGGTGTGGCCTCCTAAGAAAACCACCTGCTTCAGTTTGGGCACCTGGTTAGTATCACAGCCCTCACACAAATCAAATGAGATTTGCGTGGTGCATATGTATCTGGTTCTTCCTTGTACCAATATTTATGTGTTTAAATAAATAAATAATAAACTAGTATATCAGTACTAGCTGAACGATTACTGTTCTTTTTTAGAATTACAATCAGTGTTGACTTTGAGATTTGTATTTTATGTTCTGGTGAAATGTACATTTTGGAGTACAGTGTCACCTCAGAAGTATGCTCCATTATGAGAAAATTTTCTATTTGATAATCTTTGGTGTTTATCAGTTTCTCACTTGATATTAGTCCATAATAGTAAAGAGTGTGCGAAAGAAATAGTTTAGAAGGATACAAGCATTTCCTAATATTTTCCAAATCTCCCTATGTTTTGGAAATTCCAAGAGTTCAGTGGTCTTCCCCAAAGCTTGAGGACAAACCCCAAAATTCATGTTGAGCAGTTTTCCGGACAAACAGTTGATAACCAGTACATTTTTAAAACCTTTTAAAACAATATTACAATTAATGTTAATAAATTTTAGTATGGTCACGAACTTCAGTCAGAACTACATTACTGATGTTTTGGCTTTGTTTTAGTATGTCAAGTAGACATGAGACAAAGAAGCGTCGGTTTCGAGCCACTATTTAAAAAATCTGGTGCTATGCAGGTGAATTGTTTGTACTGTCCACAACTTCGATTAGTGCTTCTGTTCAACCTGACTAAAGCTATTTGTTTCTTTTGGACTAATAATGTACAACGTAAAGGGAGGGATAAAAGACGGGTTACAGACAACAGTTTCAAACTTGATGGGCTACCCCGATCGATCTTTTGCAAGAGGTTGAGGAAGTTAAGATCCCATTTTGAGAAAAAAAGTACTAGTTAGCAGACAGTGAAATTTTTTATTATTTTTATTTAAACACATAATTATAGGCACAAAGAGACACTGAATACATATGCGCCATAATTCACTTGATTTGTGTGTGGGCTATGATACTGCCCGGGTACAAGAACCAAAGCAGGTGGTTTTTCAGGGGGTCACACCCTCAGCCCTCCACCTAAAGGTCTGATTCATAAGGCAGTGGAACAACGTTAGGAGATGCAGTCCCATAGTAGCCGGTGACTAACGATTGGTTCATACGCCATTTGTTCCTTCAGGATACTGGAGCCGGTGTGCACCATTGATTTAGAGTCAGGGTTTTTCATCTCCCCTAGATGAACTTTTCGTATCTATCAACCCGGTCAAAGCTCCGGATATATGCTTTTCGTCCTCTCAGTTTGGCAAACAACACCCCCTTCATGAGAATGAAGTGAGTAGGACCTCCCTGTTAGTGGCTGTAAACGCGTGGTTATGTGGGAGCATTTCGAGGAGAGCTGGCTCTCACCGCCTTCGGCTTTACCACGGCTTTCATTGGCACTGACAAGAAAAACAAAAGTTCAGTTATAAAGGAAGTAGGCCATACTGTAGCTACAGAGCAGCGCGGCAGTATTGTCCCAGAATCGGCTACTGCCTCATATAGTTACGTCCATTATGCACCGAGTGCAGAGAACGTTATATTTCAAGTTTTTTTCTTAACAAGTTGTCTATGAAATTTCAGGTGACTAGATTGTTTGAGATCGTATGTGATGATCTTCGGAAACCAACCAAAGCATGTCTAGCTTACGTGCTAATGCCGGAACTGGCAATCACACAAAACTTACGAGCGACTAAAAGTAAAATGGGTATCATTAATTACAGATTCTACAAGACGATTCAACGTAAGTTCGTATCACAGACTAAATATGTTTATAGGTGTTCTGTGTTTACGGCTCCGAAGTGCAACCTGACGAGAGAACCAAATAACACATGGCATTAATGTTGCGAGCCAGACTTTCTTACACGATACAAGAGATATAGTAAATAAGCGTGGATGGCAATCTTAACAAAGGGTGAGTTAGATGCACTTTAGATCAGTAATTAAATACTGATTTCTGTTAGTTTATGATAAATATTTATACTGAAATAATTATTTCTTATTTTCAGCTGGTTTAGCAAGTGTTAACGGATCTAACTATAAGTTTATTTTATTTGAAAAACATTATTGTTATACCAATGGTACGTAATCAGCATTTCACATGGCATTATGGATTCATACGTTGGATGAGTGCTATGACATTTGTTTGTTGACTATAAGCAGTTTGGCTATTTTAAGACAGTGTTTGTAATGCTGAAAAGTAACTTGTTTGTAGAACATTGAGAAAGTTCAATATTAATCTGGTGTACTTATCTAAAACGCGTTAGCAATTGTTGGGAATCGGAGGAAGTTATGTATCAATGGATAATTAGTGCATTATTAAACTTCAATGAACATTTTCACTTATAACACCAGTCTTTTAATTACGGCAATTCTGATCTATCGCGACAGACCAGTTCTCGCCACCAACTATGGTTCAATTGATTTGGAACTGCGTTCACTTTGCGAATTTGACTGAAAAAAAAGGTAAATGTGCGCAGAAACTTTTGGAAATGTATTATTAAATCACCAGGATTATCTGTGCTATCGATAATTTTGGGGTTTTCCGAATGCAGTATTTGGAATAGCCGTAAAACGTGTCGAGTATCCCCAAAAAGAGATATAGCAATGGAGTTGGATCACAGAAAGTAAATGGGTTTCCTCAAAGTCGTCGAAAATTCTGGGGAATATTGGGGAAAAACGCGACATTTTGGAGAATTTTCCACAAAACTGAAGAAACTTTAAGGATTTCTTCTATAAATATAGATAGATTTCCCCAACTTTATGAGATTTTGCAGAAATATAAAGAAAATCTCCGAAATTTTGAGAGGTTTTGTGCCATTTACCCGAAATAGGGAGATTGGGTTATCTCTAAATGTTTCCTTTGTTTTTCCACTATACTTAGATAGATAGATAGGAAGATAGTTAGATTATAATCTACACACACAACAAAAACTCAAAGAGCATTACCTAAATTGTCAGGAATTGACGTGTTTGAGTTTTTTTGTCTAGCAATCAACAATCGTTTGTAGTTAATAATTCCAAACACATGCGTATGTATATACATCTCGAACATTGCAATGCTCGAGATTTATATCACTATAAAGCATATAATAAGAATATCACTGTGATCTGTAAACTTAGATAGCAAACACATCAGAGGTCACATATTTTTCGTCCTTAACACCACACGCACACACAAATTTACATATATGTCGCTTATGCATCACCATGACCGAAATGGTATGACATTGATTTATTCAGACCTGTTTTTTCGATTGATCGCACCTAATATTCGTGTTGTTCCGTTGTACTATTTAAATTTGGATCAATGTTAATTCGGTTATTTATTTTCTGACGAAGTCGCTAACACTGAGTCACGAAACCTTACAAAATCTAATTTTTCTACTCATTGGGAAATTACAAATATATTATTTATTTATAATAATCTACCCAGTGCTCAATTTATTCAAAATTATCAAAGCAAAACTTGGTAATGATACTTACTAATGGTCTAAAGTTCAAGTCCCGGTAGCGATGTGGTCACGTTTTTCGGAAGAGCCCCACTAGAAGAAGAGACGTTTGCCGAGTGTTTCCTGGTTTACAGCAGTAAGAAAACTTAAGTCGATTCGCCATAAGAATTAGTGAGCTGCATAAAGCCCTTATACTGAGAAACTTTACTATTGATCAATGTAAATTAACATAGAACTAACTTCAATGAAAAAAATTTATTCATATTGATTATCCTCAATAAATTACTATACAGTTAACTGATAATTAATGAAAGCAACCGGGAGACGGGAAGTAGCTTGCTAAAAGTATTGGAAACAAGAATCTTTAAGTCTAATTAAAGTAACAGGATTTTCCATGGATAGATATAAAGAGTTGGGGAGGATCTATTTGTAATTATTTTGCTTATATGTCATCTTGATGAGTGTATAGATATTATTTATTGAAAAGTCGGTTTATGCAGGTTATAGGCTGTTCTAGAGCACAATGTTGGCAACTAAAGTGAATTCATATCGAAATAAGTTCTAAAAGATGCGTACAAATTATGTACAGACAAGAAACCGATGAGAAACTCGACGAAGGATAATTACGTATCTCATCTTATATTCTCATCTATTAATAGTCATTGATAAGGAATTTACCCAAACGACAAATAAATTTTGATATATTGAGTGTTTCTTAAAGCAACATAAAATAGTTCATGATTGAGATAATGAATCGATTAGTGTTAGACCACCATTGAAAACCCGGGATCGGGGATGAGCACTGCTGGGGAGTCCCACAATGGGTCGAAAGGGCTGTCCAGTGCTTCCAGGTTTTCAATGGTGACCTGAGATCAATCGATTCATGATCTCAATCAAGAACTCAATAATCTCCACAACCCCATACTGATAATTAAATAGTACAGCCAATTGCTGTTAATTTACAGTTTTGTTAAGGAGATTTGAAAAAAAAAGAATGTTTCCACAAAAATAATTGGCGATTCACTTTTCTCATTACTTATTAATACAACTATTTCAACTGACATTGTACATTTGATCAATAAACTGAATATATGTTACACAAACAATCACATCTTACAGTCCTTGCTAAACCTGATACACAAATGTTTCAGTGTTATATTATGCATCAAGTGTTATTATGAAACGAAAAACGCATGATTAACACAATAGATATCCACAAAGCTACAGGTTAAACAAAGTAAAGAAACAGATTACATTTTTAAACTAAAAAATTTGACCGTTAATACACCAAAGACTTGAAGAGTCTAAATCATAAAATTACAAAAATGATTCTGTTTGGCTTAATATCCATTGTAAACAACGTTTACGACTAGACGATAACATTGACATATTTGATAACATGATTTCCTGGTCATCATTACCATCATTAATTGACAATTCAATATTCACTTCTTGGTAAATACGATTGCATAAAACCTGACGAATTGTTTTATGATAATTATCTAACCAATTCAATTCATCTGTAGTTAACATATCAGAGTTAATAAATTTACGTTGAAATGGAACTAAAGTGACTGGTTCAAAACTGAGCCATTTAGTATTGTCGGTGTTTGGTGAAAATTGAAAAGATCGGTGACCAGTAAAATTTGATGCAGTACAACTATTACTGTCACTACTAAGAAAATCTTTTGTTTCTACAGGTACAACAAATACTACATTTTCTAATCGTATTCCAAAGTGATCACTCCAATAGTAACCAGGTTCAATGGTAACAACCTGTATTTGAAAAGAAAAGGAAAAAAGTAAATCTTTCTTTTACACAGAACCCATCAAATATGAAAATGTGTCGTCTGAAGTGAGTGAACTGAAGATCCCTAGAAAGTTCAGTAGTGATGTTTATGAGATTAACATTACTAATTAAATAAATGTCAGTATCAAAATATTTATCTAGGGTAGGAATTTCCTAAATTTAAGTATAAGAACTGAAAAGCTTGAGAATCAACTTGTAGATCATGATCAAAAATAATCATCAGTCATCTGCTATCAATTTATTATTTCTCAGTTGATCTCAGAAATTATGATGTTCTAATAGAACCTTGGGGATTTTTTTCCATCGCTGGTGACTACTGAACATTGAACAGCACACTGTAATTGAACGTCACTTATTAAAATCTAAGGATAGACAGACGTTTTATACTTGTAGACATATTACCCATATAAGTTTCAAGAGATCTCAATGTACAATCCTATTCTTTTTGAATGTGAATTGAGTTACAAAAGATGATGAGTCTCAATTAGCAAGCAGCTCAGATAAAAAATCCATCACTTGTCAACTTCAGGCTTACAACATCAAGACTGTATTCGTCAATAGCAAATATGAGCGCTACCCACAGAGTCTCATATTCTAACAATTAATGTAATATCAATAACGAAGGAGACCCATTGTTTCATTGAAGAAAAAAGGCAATTCAGCGAAAATAAAAGTAACTTAAATCGTCGCTGAACTTCTTTCTTTCCTATCAAATATCAATAAGCAAAGCATGAGCTGTTACAGCGAAGAATCGACTTTATTCTTCTCATCACAGGTTGTAATAATTTGTGCGCCGTCGTAAGATGGATTTTAAGTCTTTAATAACACCTAAAAACTAGTGAAATAAAATAGCAACTAAAGAAAACATTCAGTATTCAAATAAACTGCAAGCTTTCCACTATGAAATAGCATCAACTAAATAATTTTACGAAAAAAAACAAGGATGATTTGAAAAGCTGTTTTGAGACACCTAGCCAATAATCTAACAGGAATTTTCACACAAAACTGAATCCGTTTAGATCTATGGTTGAAAGTGACACATATAAACTACTGCATTAAAATTTAGTGCCTCACATACTTCACATCAGTAAACTCAAGATACAAAATCACAAAAGCACTCAATATCGTGAATGAATTATTTACCTAACAGAAAATTTAACGCGAGGGAGTTTGAAACGAAAGGTACTGGGTTCGAATCCCAGAGTGAACATCAACTCTGAGATGTAGGTAAATCCAGCTGACGAGTGCCAAATAGGACGAAACGCACGTCCTAGATTCCACTGCTAGCCAATATCCATCTTTGCTTACTATGCTTGTGAATTAAGACCGTGAACCTAGGTTTAATTATACTTGTCACTCATTAGTAAAAGTGTACCCTTATTCTTGAGAAACTACCTCTAACCATCACCTTACACTACAACATAATGTACTTAGTGTTCAGTCACTAAGTCTAATAGCCACATTTTAATTTGATTGACAGAAGTTGATCAACACTAAAAGACTAGACAAATGAGACATTTGTCACTTCTCAGTAATTACTCAACTGTAATGTATGTATATCGATGTATATCTAAGTTGAACTTGGAATAAATTAGTTGAAACTAAACAAGATTATTGTTAAAATAACTATTTGCTAATTGTAAGCAAATATGGATATTGGCTAGCAGTGGAATCCAAAACGCGCATTTCGTCCTATTTGAAATAAGGCTATAAGGAGGCAATACGTACAGTATGCACATATGCCAATTAGAGACTGACCAGTTGCAGTCCCAACACATCGATGGGAAGATTCAAACAAACAATACTAAATGAATTTGAAAATTTAATTCGTTTATTAGATTATAGTTACTTATAGAAAATTCGGTAAACCAACCTCAAAAGTCTAAGTAACTCAATAATCTCGTGCGCAGTATATAAATTCATTAGATGGTAGAAAATGATTGACAAGAAATCATGTTTGATTTAGATTTCATACAACAAAGCGTACGGCCGAACTATAATTTATGGACGAACCAATGATAATAAACATACAAAATCTTGGATTTTGGCACGAAATTTATTTATCCGTACAGTTGAACAGAATGTTGATATTAAAGCTGATATTAGTTCGTAATCAATACCCTCATCACTCTAATTCTTAAACCTAACTTATAACCCCAAATTCTAATCTTAATTCCTCATACTAATTTATAACACACATTTGGTACTAGAAATCAGGTGAATTTTCTCAAGGTAACATAAAGTCGCCTTTCTTGATTTCCTCATATTTCAATCCTAATTTTTAATAAAATGGCTTCAAAAGGTAGGATTATGGCTCTTATGCAAGAAATTGAAAGCCTATAGCTTTTTTCTGTTGACCATTGTTATCCGATTACTTCACTTAGGTACTTTATGATGTCGTTATTTTTAGCATCTAGTAGTCTCCGGTCGTATTTACATCCTGAGTTGCAGAAATTCGTATTGAATAATCAGCTAGATATATTTTGTTTCCAGATCTCATTGTAACGTATAAATACAGTTTGCTACTACGCAAACCGTTTCACAGTTAAAATTTCCAAACGAACAGAAGTTATTTGAATAGTTACTTCTGCTCCGACACTTGATGCTTTTAAAAACATTTACCTACGAGTCTTTCAAAAATATGTCTCATTAGCCATGCAATTGGTTTTAGGGATCAGTTTGCGTGCCCTCAAATTATTTTAGGTAATAACCACAATCACCAAATTTTGTTAAACTAGTATTTAATTCTTCGCAATGTACAAACATCAATTCTCAAGTAGAAAATATTGGTTTTGCCTCCGATGTTTTCCTTATCTTATTTTTGTCTCACTCATAACTCAAAGTTTCAAAACTTAGGTATGTGTCATTATTTCCCAGTTATCTTGATTATTTAGAGAATAACTTTTCATCTGAAACTGGATATCCAATACTTCAGAAGGCTAATAACCCAATCAACACTGGAATCCTTAGGTATTTTATGTCAGTCAGTCTGTCTGTGAAAAGCAACATAGAACACACGTCGACTCTATTTACCATACCTACTCCTCATAGATTGATGAAATTTTCAAGACTCATACCAAAGTAGTAGTGGAATTTGCTGGGAATAAGCCTAAGCATAGACAGTATTATCCCAGTAGGAAAAAATAATCTGTGAAATATGGTATAAAAAGTAATTTTGATCTAGGAGTAAACAAAGTGCGTCTGAGCTATTGTAACCGATTGTCAGCCACGTTACCTGACATCTTCAGCAATTGGTTACGATAACCGCACGGATTATATTTACGTAGCTTGCATCCACCAGTTAGGCTCACACCAAAATCGAATGACCAGTCAAATTGAGGTTTTTTTTGGTTCAGTCGCATGTAGCTTTTCTTCAACTTATTACACCAGCTGACATAGCGTCATAGTAGGTGGTTTCGAGTACATGTAATCCATTTCCCCACTGTTTCAGTTGATACAGATACTTTGACTCGCCAACCGCTTTATCGTCATTACTCCGTACACTGCAACTAACCTTAGCACTGCTCATTAGCTGCTCTTAACACACGACCGGTGACTCGACAACACCTTTGATCAACTCAGCCGTTGCGGCTACCTTAACGTGGTGGTCGGGCTATACTTGCTGGAGAAGTCGTCTCTCAAAGTCCTACCATGCCAGACAGGTCGTTTTAAGAGCGGTAAGACTAAAAGAAACAAACGCAAGGTCCGAGAGCGAATTTTTACTACGGAATGTACAGAAGTGTGACAGAAGTAAGATGTTTCCCTCAGACAATCAGCGTAGCAGCGATGCTGCCTTCTCAAAAGGGAAGAGTGTGGTTACAAAAGGTCTACCCTAAAAATAAACACCTGGCCTTATCTCACGGATTTCTGTCGCCTTCAAAAAGTACGGTGCTAACACAAAAATTGCCTACATAAAAGTCGTATATGACCGTTTTCAAGTAGTTGTCCCTTGGGCACTGTGGTCACGATCTCAGGTCACTAGGACCACCTCTAACCGGATTTGCTTTTCAGGTAGCACTAGAAGGACTCTTCTTTGGTGTGCGAAACCGGGGAGTTACAACCGCCCTCATACCTCTAACAGCACTCAAGACCACTGACCTACGATCAAATACTAGTAGTCGATGGATGTTCTCTGCCTTCAGAACCCAAGATACACAGCCATAGAGTAGAACAGAGTGGAGTGCTATTCAGTATACTCATCTTTTTGTCTGGTAGAGATTGATATCTTATTTACGCCGCCGGTGATGCAAATTAATAGAGTCAAGTGGGTCTTTTGAGTTGTTACTGAGATCCTATCAGGGATTAACTCAACAAAATTCTATGAGACGTTTTAGATAAATGAGCTAGCGCTGCATACTCCCGTTAAAACGATACTATTCTCACGAAGATGTTGCAGGTAAAGTCATTAATAGGCTCACATGCATACTTATTTTGATCAAATTTCTATTAAATAAGGACTAAGTATACTAAAAATTAATTACCGATCTGAACTTGTGGTCACATGGTTGAAACGTCTATAGATTGCTGCAACTTGAACCGATGCATATATGTACCTGGTCCTACGTTGTAGCTGATTAACTGACTGAGATTGCTTCATTTCCGTCCGTATAATCTTTAAAACTTTTCAGATTTACTTCGTTCGTGGATATTTAGTTATTGATGAATCTGATAATGTTCATATCTTTACAAATAGAGTTATTAATACAATTAGTACACTATTTTTCGGGTTGAAGTAATGACGTAACATGAGTTTTTATGTAAGCTCAAGAACACTAATAATTGTCAGTTCTTCAATCACGAATTGATTTCCTTTACTATGAGTGTAACTGTTTACTAAGTAAGGTATTGGCTCAGTAGTTGGAGAATTTAACCTTCAATAACAGTGTTGCAAACTAGGACTGTCCTACCCATTGCGTTTTTGAGCAGCCGGGTAACATAATGAGTCCTCATACAAATGCAGATAAATTTACACTTAGTAAATTAATGCCCAAGTTATAAAATCAACTCAGCTCTCATGAAGTGAATTATTGGAGTATATATCCAATCCATAAGATACTATTGCTGGTAAGAAATAATATTATCTAACGTCCAATAAATCTCAACTGCTTTTTCATTTATGTAGGCTTCCAGTGAACTAGATGAAAATTGGTCATTATTTAGAAATGACTTAACTGAAGCTCCTACAAGAGTCCAATGGATTGTTTCGTCAACTTCACCTGGTTCTTTTATTGGATATGATGGCAGACAAATACCTTATACAGGAATTGAAACATTAAAAAAAGAATTAGCTGGTGTTGAAGCTGAATTAGGTATTCTACCAAATTGTAACGGAATTCAAAATCCTCTTAGTCGACAATTAGTTAATATACCAAACACAAATTTAATTGATCTGGTTTGGGATTCTATGTCTGAATTACAGATTGAAAATGTTTCTCGTCCTATTCGTTCATCAAATCCACTGCTATCTATTCCAGTCTCGTTTTCTGGTTCAAGTTGGCAGCAAAAAATTGATCGTGTTAGAAATATGATGAAAGCAAAAGGGGCTGAATTACTGGTTTTATATGCATTAGATGAGATTGCTTGGTTATTCAATTTACGTGGAAATGATATACTTTACAATCCAGTGTTTTATGCATATGCTATTGTAAGCTTAAATAAAATAGACTTATTTTTGAATTCGAAAACTGTTGATCAAACATCTAGACTTGAAGATTACTTGAGCGACAAACAGTACTTAGTAAGTTACGATTATTATTATTATTATTGATTACTACTATTAGTTATTAAGTAATAACCACCTTAAGGGCTTGAAAAATTTGCAGATACTTATCATCATAAATCAATATCAACCGGAGCATCGGTATTACAATGCGGCTCACTCATCAGGTACTGGTTTGTGTACTTGGCTTTCAGTTACACTTTAGGTAAGAATAAAATAAATAGAGTGGGGGGTTGAACTTGTGACATATCAATTGATATCTCTTTATCTCCCAAACAGTTTCCAAAATATGAACTGAAAAAACCTATTTTGAAACTGGATTAGTTGTATAGACTGTAGACTTTTCGACTTGTCTCAGTTGTAATTTAAGAAAAATTTGGAACGGTAACCCAATATTTTTAAGGTCGACCAACGGTACAACACCTAAAATCTCAATAAAACCACTATTTCATATATATATATATATATATATATATATATATATGTTCATCCTGTGCGGATCGCCTCGATTTTGCCAGTGGACAACAAGCATTTTAAGCATAGATGAAAAGTGGCTGGTGGGTACATCCAGCTGATGTGTGCCAGATAGGACAAAATTCCCCTTCTTAGATTCCGATCCTAGCCATTGTCCATCTCTGTTCAAAATCAGTACTTATTTTTAATTCCTTATTTTGGTAAACGTAAAATCTGGTGAAGCGCCACTGAAAGTGTATGCGCAACACAAATAGAGCGACAACAGTGTGAATAACTAAAGAAGGGAAGAGGATTACTATTGTTAGAAAAATATTGAAAACAGAAGTGGCTTTGATATAGAAATACCAGGGAGACTACTCTGAACTTGGTGGTCTCCGTATAATGCACTAAACTAGTTAAAAATTAGCTTTTGCCCCCAAATGCCCTGGTACGGCCGAGAGTGAGGGAGAGTCCGCTCTTCCTCTCCAAATGCTCTCACATGGCCACGCGTATATAGCCTCTGCCAGGGAGGTCCTACTCACTGCCTTCTCGTGGCGAGGGTGTTGTTCACAAAATTGAGAGGACGAAAAGCGATTGTCCGGAGCCTTAACCGGGTTGGTGGACACGGCGAGTCCACCTAGGGGAGTTGGAAAACCCTGATTCCAAACCAATGGTGCACATAGGCTAACTCCAGTATCCTGAGGGAACAAATAGCGTATGAATCAATTGTTGGTCACCGGCTATCATGCGACTGCATCTCCTTACGATGCTCCACTGCCTTGTGAATCAGACCTTCAGGTCAAAGGCTCCGGGTGTGGCCCCCTAAGAAAATTACCTGCTTCAGTTTGGGCACCTGGGCAGTATCATAGCCCTCAAGCAAATCGAATGAGATTTGCGTGGCGCATATTTATCTGGTGCTTCCTTGCACCAATATTTATGTGTTTAAATAAATAATAATAAATAAAATAAACATCACATTATACAATGAAAAGTAACAATCATACATTAACAAACCAAAAGTGGCTGTGGATAGGGGGAACTGTAAGTAATGGACTGTCAACAAATTAAGATTGGTTCATCGTACAATATTAGTTTATTAGTCAGCTGAAAGGTTATGACAAAACAAATACACAAATAATGGTAATTCGAAAAACCAGTTTCAAATTCTACAATATACGTTCCATTTAAACAGTATTGATTCCTATAAATACGTAATGTTATGAATTCAGTAAAATGATGTAAATCTCAGTATTATGTGTGTAGTATCCTTGGTCAATAAGATTATTTATTTAAACACATAAATATTGGTACAAGGAAGCACCAGATAAATATGCGCCTCACAAATCTCATTCGATTTGTGTGAGGGCTGTGATACTGCCCAGATGCCCAGACTTACGATTTTTCTGTACAAAACTGAACCTTGCAATAAAGCATCTTCTCGCTACTCGTGTCTTCTCTCTGGTCTTCAAGTTGCTGAGTAGTGCTAGCCTGGGGTTGTCCGAATAGCTTAGGATCTGAATAAGCGTTCAACCCACAAGACATATCAGTGGCGACGGGGAAAAACTACAAGACATATCAGTTAGTATCACAGCTCTCACACAAATCAAAAGAGATTTGTGCGGCGCATATTTATCTGGTGCTTCCTTGCACCAATATTTATGAGTTTAAATAAAATAAAATAAATCACTGCAATTATCACTTAAAAGGAAACGAAAATAAATAGAACACCAGGATTAAACTGTCAAAAAAAAAAGTTGAAAATTTATCAAGAAAAGGAAGAAACACATTTTTTATTACCATATTCTCTTGTAATCCTGGTTCTACTATACCCATACGAGTGTATGCGTTAATTCGACTACTAGATAACCCAATAGGACCTTCATGTACATTAAGAAATGCACCAACACCATGTCCTGTTCCATGAGCATAATTACCATGAAATTGCCACATTATTCGACGAGATATAATATCAAGTCGTGAACCCGGAGTATTCGATGGAAAAATCTGTTTAAATGAATAAATAATCAGAAAATGTTGAACATAGTGTTTGGGTAGAAATTAATCAATTATCTAACTGTGTTGTAATATTGCATGCCCGTTTACATTTCACTGTTAATTTATAACACTAAAATGATTGGGTTTTGGTTAGTATATAGGCTTGTTTATTGATCCTTCAATATGGTACCTATTTGCATCTCAATAATAAAACTTTTGAAAGAGTATACTATATTGATGAACCTATCAAATCCATGATTGTTTTCGTACGAAATCAAAAACTCAATGATAGAGAGCTTGTATCATGATAAGATTGAAATTAGAAACAAGTGAAACTTAACAACATCTGCCAACTACGATACTTAAAATTGGAAAACATAGAAAGGAAAAAGAATAAGGACGAAGTTGAACGATTTTTAAAATGACGATGAGTGATTAATTTTTCATGCAGAAAATAATAAACAGGTAAAAGTTTGACAGAATTCGTAAATTTCCAGACGTAGATAGAAGGGTCACGATAATGCCCGAATACTCATCTATATAGTTGTGAAGCATCCTCCAACTTCATTACTATTCCAAACTATCAATTACACACTTCTAACCCCAACCCTAAAACCTAGCCCAAACTCCTAATTCTAATCATTAGATATTTATATTCATTTGGTGTTCTTTGCTTGTATCAAGAATCAGTACTTAATTGAATGACGAGGTGTTCTGGGCGAACGGTAGTGGGTTCGAGTCCCAGAGCGAACATCAACTCTGAGATGTCGTTACATCCAGCTGGCGAATCCCAAATAGGACGAAATGCGCGTCATGCATTCCACTGTTAAGCACAATCCCCTATTTATGCTTTCAATGTAGTAAATTATTTTTGCTAATATCACCTGCGCTCTAATTGGTTTCAATTTCTCGAAGTCGTTTAAAACATCACTGTGGTAATTGGTGGAGTGTGTATTTATTGATATTTTATGTAAAAACAAAGAAGAGTAACCAAATACCTGTGTGAATATTTGTTATATATTGAAACCCCGAGGAACAACATCATATGCGAAGTCACTGATCAGGATCATGACTCTAGTTTGGCATATTTTTTTAACAGCCTAGTATCCCTAAATTGACCAATAACATGCATCACAAGCACCATTTATCTTGGGTTGAATGCTAAAATCCTGCTAATTCATTATACACGAGCGCCTTACTATGCTCTGTCTTAAACATAAAAGTCAGCAACAAGTCTCTACTATATCTTTGCTTAAAACATATGTGGTTTTGATATAAAAATACCAGACCACATCACATCAAACAATGAAAAGTAACAATCATACATTAACAAACCAAAAGTGGCTGTGGATAGGGGGAACTGTAAATAATGGACTGTCAACAAATTAAGATTGGTTCATCGTACAATATTAGTTTATTAGTCAGCTGAAAGGTTATGACAAAACGAATACACAAATAATGGTAATTCGAAAAACCAGTTTCAAATTCTACAATATACGTTCCATTTAAACAGTATTGATTCCTATAAATACGTAATGTTATGAATTCAGTAAAATGATGTAAATCGCAGTATTATGTGTGTAGTATCCTTGGTCAATAAGAATATCAAATCAACCTCTCACACCTTGAAGTAAGCATAAGAAATTATTTTAAAAGAAAAGAAAGGAGAACACAAACCTGGACTAAACAAGTAAATATCAAAAGAAAACAGAAAACATTATGAAGTCACATGATGAAGTGGCAAGTCACAAAGTATTGAAGAAGCTACTGCCAAGGAAGTCCTACTCGCTGTCTTCTCGTGGTGTGGGTGTTGTTTGCGAAATTGAGAGGACGGAAAAAGGATGTCCGGCGCTTAGACTGGATTGGTGGATACGGAGTATCCATCTAGGGGAGTTGGAAAACCCTGATTTAAAACCAATGGTGCACATAGGTTTCAGAATCCTGAAGAAACAAATGGGCGTATGAACCAATTGGTCACCGGCTAGGACTGTATCTCCTAACGTTGCTCTACTGCCTTGTGGATTAAAACTTCGTGTCAAAGCCTCCAGGTTTGGTCCCATAAGAAAACCACTTGCTTCGGTTTGGGCACCTAGGCAGTATCACAGCCCTCACACAAATCAATGATAAGTACTAATGGCTTCATTTTTATTGTGTGGCACATATGTATTTGGTGCCCCCTCGTACCAACGTTTATGTTCAAATGAATAAATCTTCAAATAAAAACTGAAGAGAAAGAAAACCAAATCTAAAATTTGCATATCAACTTCTCAGTTATTCTTTATTCAGTGAACTTTTAATTCATTTTTGTTGTATTCATTAATTACGAAGGAATTTTGTTCATTGACTCTTACTGAATTTTCCATTGTAATAACTTATTTAGTATCCTGTAAGTTATGTGATCTTCAATGTCAGTCAGTCAGTCAGCTACAACATAGGACCAGGCACATTTACGCATCGGTCCAAGTTGCCATACCTCATTAGCACAACAAGATCAACACCGGATTCATAGAAGTAGTTAATATATTGGTGGTAGTATATAAAAGATAAGTTGTATATAAGGATATAGTATAGGAATGAAGAACGTTATGAAGCAATTTTAATCTCAAGGTTTAAGGGAAGATAAAGAGTGTATACACCTACGCCATTGTGATCGATTCTGAGCCATGTCACCCAGAGTCTCCAACCATTGGTTACGGTAGTTACGCGGACCCCAACCAGGTAGTCTGCAATGTATTTCTCCTTGTATTAATTGATTGATTATTCACTGTGATTTTTCATTGAGTGATAACGGCGTAGTTTGATAAAATTATGTAATTCATAATTATTGAACTAATTGATATATAATAGAATACACTTGAATGTAATTTGATTCTTCTGGGGTCATTATCAAGGAAAGCATTTATACAATTGTGAACTTTTTACTTTAATTGGTAGTAAGCAGGGAAGAAGAGGATAGAAGTAGAGAATAATTAACTTAATGAACGAACATATTACAAAGATTACGACCTGATGTGTGGGCGAGAATGATAATGATTGGTTGTCTCGATGAGTCAGACATTAGAGGGGATGACAGGTGTTATGTGTTATATATATATTTCCCTATCCTTATTATGTATGAACTTCTTGACTGTTCCTTGTTGATGGACACTTATTGATTAACTGTTCTTTGTGTCGGATTTTCGTGTGGAAATATATTGACGATATAGTCAGGCTAATCTGGTGTTCTTGATCTGAGTTCTGTTGAAGTCCTGTAGAATAGACACTGGGTGGGAATCTAGTGTAGATATTCGTCTAAGATAAATTAACGTCCCACATACGTGTAAGAAGTAAAAGGACTGTTATAACCAGAAACCCCTAAAGTTATAACCAGCATCCTCTCTCTCTCTCTACGTTTATAACAATTGGCGACGGCATACATACGTTTATAACATTGGCGACGGTGATTAAAACGGATCTACGCTTACGTATTCAGTTAAAGTGAATTTTGTATCAAGAAAATGGATGATCTGAAAACCTTATTGCAACAGCAAAATACTCTTATCGAATTATTAATCAAGAATATGTCAATTTCCTCAAGAACGAATGTGTCTAATTCCACTATGACTCCGGATTCTATTGCAAATTCAATAACTGAATTTAGATTTGATCCAGAAAGTGGAGTTACTTTTGAGGCGTGGTTTAAACGCCATGAGGATTTATTTATTAATGAATGTAAAGAGTGGGACGAAAGTTCAAAATTGAGATTATTATTACGAAAGCTCGGAGTGTCCGAACATGAAAAATTCTGTAATTTTATCCTCCCAAAGAAGCCATCCGACATAACGTTCAAAGAAACAGTTGAATGCCTGACTCGTATATTTGGTGAACGGTCATCAATTTTGCACACTAGATACCAGTGTCTTCAACTTGTAAAGAAAGTACAGGACGATTTTGTAACGTATGCAAGTATCGTGAACCGGGAATGTGAGCGGTTCCGATTACAGGAAATGTCCTCAGATCAATTCAAGTGCCTTATTTTTGTATGTGGATTACAATCTCCAGTAGATGCAGATATTAGAGCACGGATTCTAATGAGAATCGAACAAGATCCTAATATCAGTCTACAATCAGTATCTGAAGAGTGTCAAAGAATGGTTAATTTGAAGCATGACACGAATCTCGTAGAAACGAACAGTGAACACGTGGGAATTAATGCTTTATGTAAATCTTTAAATGAAAATAAAGATTCGAACTCCCAGAAAATCCCAAATCAAGTGAAACACAAAACGTCATGTTGGCGATGTGGTAAGTCTCATTCTGCCAAAGTTTGTTACTTTAAAAAACGAGTATGCTTTCAATGTGGTAAATATGGTCATGCTCAAGTATGTTGTAAAAGTAAACCGAAGGTTTCTGACCGTGAGCATAAGTTCCGTAAAGGAAATAAGATACATACTTCAAAAGTAATGCCGCATAACTCAAATGTTCTGGCTACAAAAAGTGAGCATTTCTCCTCTAAAAGGAAGTATGTAACCATCTTTTTCGATGGCAAACCGGTCAAACTACAAGTCGATACTGGGTCTGACATAACATTAATTTCTAGAGAAACTTGGATTAAAATTGGTCGACCCCGATATCAACCTACATGTCATAATGCTAAGAGTGCGTCAGGAACTAATATTACTCTTCTTGGAGTAATACAGCTACCTCTCACGTTTGGTGAAAAGACTATGACCGGGAAATGTTATGTCTCCGGGAACTGTAATACCAATCTATTAGGTATTGATTGGATTGATAAATTTGGTTTGTGGGATTTACCGTTGAATGTGCCGAAAGCAGAATCCCAGTCATGGCCAGAAACGAAAAAACCTTGGATCCGACTACATGTTGATTATGCTGGACCAATAAGTGGACAATATTTTTTGGTGGTGGTTGATTCATACTCGAAGTGGCCTGAAATTTATGTGGTACGAAGACCATCTACGTCTGAAACACTGCCACATCTGAGACAATTATTTGGTAGGTTTGGTACACCTAATGTTTTGGTTTCAGATAACGGGACGCAGTTCACGTCGTTAGAGTTTGCGGAGTTCTGTAAACAGAATGGAATCGAACACGTTAGAACTCCACCGTATCACCCTAAGTCGAACGGGCAGGCAGAGAAATTTGTTGATATTCTTAAACGAGCTCTCTTAAAGATGGGAGGAGAAGGCAACGTAGAAGAGGCTCTGCAACAATTTCTCATTTCCTATAGAATTACGCCAAGTCCAAACTGTCAAGATGGGAAATCTCCAGCCGAAATAATGTTTGGCCGACCGATTAGAACATTTTTTGATGTTTTGAACCCGAAAGACCGAATCAGTGGACTACAAAAAAATAACAAAGGGAATTGCCTGAAAATTCGAGAATTCAAAGTAGGTGACTCAGTCTATGCACGGGATTTCCGGCCTGGCAAGCCAAAATGGATATTTGGGTTTATAAAAAAACGACGTGGTACAGTATTATATGAAGTGATGGTCGAAAATACACTAATTATTAGACATGTAAATCAACTGCTAGATAGAAAATGTGTTTATGAGTCATCTAAACTCAAACCATTACCAATGGAAGTATTATGTGATACATTTGATATTCCACCACCACCACCACAAGTTGAAATGAGAAAAAATGATCTAGAATCAGAAGTTAGACGAAGGTCATTCAGGAAACGGAAACAAACGAAATTTTTTCAAATAGACCCCAAAGTGAAATCATACGATCGAACTTCGCGAGGGAGGTGATGTGTGGGCGAGAATGATAATGATTGGTTGTCTCGATGAGTCAGACATTAGAGGGGATGACAGGTGTTATGTGTTATATATATATTTCCCTATCCTTATTATGTATGAACTTCTTGACTGTTCCTTGTTGATGGACACTTATTGATTAACTGTTCTTTGTGTCGGATTTTCGTGTGGAAATATATTGACGATATAGTCAGGCTAATCTGGTGTTCTTGATCTGAGTTCTGTTGAAGTCCTGTAGAATAGACACTGGGTGGGAATCTAGTGTAGATATTCGTCTAAGATAAATTAACGTCCCACATACGTGTAAGAAGTAAAAGGACTGTTATAACCAGAAACCCCTAAAGTTATAACCAGCATCCTCTCTCTCTCTCTACGTTTATAACAATTGGCGACGGCATACATACGTTTATAACACGACCTTTATTATTATTATGTTTGTTATAAAGGTAGGATATTTGTTATAATGTTGGGGTTTCTTGTTATAATATTCCTTTCACTTTTTACACGTATTTGGGACGTTAATTTACCTTAGACGAATATCTACACTAGATTCCCATCTAGTGTCTATTCTACAGGACTTCAACGCAACTCAGATCAAGAACACGAGATTAGCCTGACTATAACGTCAATATATTTCCACACCAAAATCCGACACAAGGAACAGTCAATCAATAACAGTCAGGACAGGGAGATATATAAAACATTTAACACCTGTCACACTATCCACAAGTCTGATTCAGCAAAACAACCAATCATCATCATTCTCACCCACACATCAACTACTATTATTAATCGAGGTAACAGTTATTTTCAAAGATTTTTTATACATATCTTGATTCAATCGATCTTGGATTATTCTCAATTTACTGGCCAGTTAAGTCTGAAGTGGAATAAAGGACTGATTATATGGATCTTTTTTGAAAGACAAATTTAATCTGATAAACTTCAGGAAGTTACCACTTGATAAATTAGGGAATACTATTAAAAGAATTTTCACTGCAAATATACCTTGGTAAATCATAACAGCTTAGCTTGAAGACCTTAAGAAATATGATTCAATTTTTAAATTTAAGAAAGAAATATTTAAAGATTTCCACTTACTTGCATAGCAAGTGCAATATGGGCTTTTAAAACAGATGTATAACAATTATTTTGTTCTAATGTTGATTCACCTAAATGGATTGTACGCGTTACATCCGTTGTGCCCGTCATGTATTGACCACCAGAATCAACAAGGTATATACTTGTATTAGTAATAGGTGCATCTTGACCTTCAACAGGATGATAGTGTATAATAGCTCCATTTGCATCTAGAAAAATTACACAATCGAAACAATAAGAAGAAATAAAATGATAACATGAAGTACATAATAACTATGGTAACGTAAAACAAAACAAATTTCGTTCCAATATCAAGCAACTTATCAATCATCCTCAAATAAACCATGTATTTATATTTCGTAACTTACCAGCGCAAGATATCGTGCTGAAGCTTAAGCTGAAAAAATCTTTAGCTTGTGACCGTAACGCATCCAAATATTGAGCAGTTGATGCTTCAGTTAAAACAAGTGGTGGTTTGATTACCGGTAGGCCTGCACCGTTTTCTGCATTTGGTTTTATTGGTTTGTAGTCATGCGACTGCTTACAACAACTGTTGTCATTAATTTGATTAGCTTCACCTTCTAACCAAGCCAAAAAATCACATAATACTAATGAATCAGTGATGTGAATTTCACGGATTCCATTTAATTCTGATAGAGATTTGATTGATTTCATTTCAGCGACAGGTGAGATGTGAAATAGACGTTGATTTTCTGGAATTTTTGAAACAATTGCATAACTAGCAGATAAATCGAGCCATACACGTGAAGGTTGTTGTGGTGAATGTTTTTCTGGTGAATTATGAACAGCCGTTTCCAAATAGTTGAAAAATTCAGAGTATGAATGAATTTCTACCTAATGATAAATATATACATATGTAGGAAAGGGTAGGAACACTTTGTTTGTTAAAGATTAAATTCTTCCAACAAACAAGACTTTTTCCGTGAAGTAGTAAATACCAAAACGAAATTGATATAAACTAATAACTAAAGTAGTATAATACAACAAAAATTATGGAAGTCTGCTGTGACCGAACAAGAATTGCAGAAGTTGGAACTAGTTGTTTAAATTATTCTTACTGATAATTTAGTTGTATAGTTACTGAGTGACTAGATTACTATAGTCTATGTATTCGTTTTGTCATAACCTTTCAGGATTCTGAAACCTATGTGCACCATTGATTTTAGAATCAGTGTTTTCCAACTCTACTAGATGGATACTCCATATCTATCAACCCGGTCAAAGCGCCGAACATCCGTTTTTCGTCCTCCCAATTTCGCAAACAACACCCTCGCCACGAGAAGGCAGCGAGTAGGACTTCCTTGGCAGTAGCTTCCTCAATACTTTGTGACTTGCCACTTCATCATGTGACTTCATAATGTTTTCTGTTTTCTTTTGATATTTACTTGTTCAGTCCAGGTTTGTGTTCTCTTTTTCTTTACTTTTAAAATAATTTCTTATGCTTACTTCAAAGTGTGAGAGGTTGACTTGATATTCTTATTGACCAGCCCCCCAAATGCCCTAGTACGGCCGAGAGTGGGGAGAGTCACCTCTCCCTCTCGAAATGCTCTCATATGGCCACGCGAATATATAGCCTCTGCCAGGGAAGTCCCACTCACTGCCTTCTCGTGGCCTTACTGTTGTTCACGAAATTGAGAGGACGAAAAGCGAATGTCCGGCGCCTTAACCGGGTTGGTGGACATGGCGAGTCCACCTAGGGGAGTTGGAAAACCCTGATTCCAAACCAGTGGTGCACATGGGTTCCAGTATCGTGAGGGAACAAATGGCGTACGAACCAACCGTTGATCACCGGCTACCACGGGACTGCATCTCCTCACGATGCTCCACTGCCTTGTGGATCAGACATTCAGGTCAAAGGCTCCGGGTGTGGCCCCCTAAGAAAACCACCTGCTTCAGTCTGGGCATCTGGGCAGTATCACAGCCCTCACACAAATCGAATGAGATTTGTGAGGCGCATATTTATCTGGTGCTTCCTTGTACCAATATTTATGTGTTTAAATAAATAATCTTATTGACCAAGGATACTACACACATAATACTGAGATTTACATCATTTTACTGAATTCATAACATTACGTATTTATAGGAATCAATACTGTTTAAATGGAACGTATATTGTAGAATTTGAAACTGGTTTTTCGAATTACCATTATTTGTGTATTCGTTTTGTCATAACCTTTCAGCTGACTAATAAACTAATATTGTACGATGAACCAATCTTAATTTGTTGACAGTCCATTACTTACAGTTCCCCCTATCCACAGCCACTTTTGGTTTGTTAATGTATGATTGTTACTTTTCATTGTATAATGTGATGTTTATTTTATTTATTATTATTTATTTAAACACATAAATATTGGTGCAAGGAAGCACCAGATAAATATGCGCCACGCAAATCTCATTCGATTTGCTTGAGGGCTATGATACTGCCCAGGTGCCCAAACTGAAGCAGGTAATTTTCTTAGGGGGCCACACCCGGAGCCTTTGACCTGAAGGTCTGATTCACAAGGCAGTGGAGCATCGTAAGGAGATGCAGTCGCATGATAGCCGGTGACCAACAATTGATTCATACGCTATTTGTTCCCTCAGGATACTGGAGTTAGCCTATGTGCACCATTGGTTTGGAATCAGGGTTTTCCAACTCCCCTAGGTGGACTCGCCGTGTCCACCAACCCGGTTAAGGCTCCGGACAATCGCTTTTCGTCCTCTCAATTTTGTGAACAACACCCTCGCCACGAGAAGGCAGTGAGTAGGACCTCCCTGGCAGAGGCTATATACGCGTGGCCATGTGAGAGCATTTGGAGAGGAAGAGCGGACTCTCCCTCACTCTCGGCCGTACCAGGGCATTTGGGGGCAAAAGCTAATTTTTAACTAGTTTAGTGCATTATACGGAGACCACCAAGTTCAGAGTAGTCTCCCTGGTATTTCTATATCAAAGCCACTTCTGTTTTCAATATTTTTCTAACAATAGTAATCCTCTTCCCTTCTTTAGTTATTCACACTGTTGTCGCTCTATTTGTGTTGCGCATACACTTTCAGTGGCGCTTCACCAGATTTTACGTTTACCAAAATAAGGAATTAAAAATAAGTACTGATTTTGAACAGAGATGGACAATGGCTAGGATCGGAATCTAAGAAGGGGAATTTTGTCCTATCTGGCACACATCAGCTGGATGTACCCACCAGCCACTTTTCATCTATGCTTAAAATGCTTGTTGTCCACTGGCAAAATCGAGGCGATCCGCACAGGATGAACATATATATATATATATATATATATATATATGAAATAGTGGTTTTATTGAGATTTTAGGTGTTGTACCGTTGGTCGACCTTAAAAATATTGGGTTACCGTTCCAAATTTTTCTTAAATTACAACTGAGACAAGTCGAAAAGTCTACAGTCTATACAACTAATCCAGTTTCAAAATAGGTTTTTTCAGTTCATATTTTGGAAACTGTTTGGGAGATAAAGAGATATCAATTGATATGTCACAAGTTCAACCCCCCACTCTATTTATTTTATTCTTACCTAAAGTGTAACTGAAAGCCAAGTACACAAACCAGTACCTGATGAGTGAGCCGCATTGTAATACCGATGCTCCGGTTGATATTGATTTATGATGATAAGTATCTGCAAATTTTTCAAGCCCTTAAGGTGGTTATTACTTAATAACTAATAGTAGTAATCAATAATAATAATAATAATCGTAACTTACTAAGTACTGTTTGTCGCTCAAGTAATCTTCAAGTCTAGATGTTTGATCAACAGTTTTCGAATTCAAAAATAAGTCTATTTTATTTAAGCTTACAATAGCATATGCATAAAACACTGGATTGTAAAGTATATCATTTCCACGTAAATTGAATAACCAAGCAATCTCATCTAATGCATATAAAACCAGTAATTCAGCCCCTTTTGCTTTCATCATATTTCTAACACGATCAATTTTTTGCTGCCAACTTGAACCAGAAAACGAGACTGGAATAGATAGCAGTGGATTTGATGAACGAATAGGACGAGAAACATTTTCAATCTGTAATTCAGACATAGAATCCCAAACCAGATCAATTAAATTTGTGTTTGGTATATTAACTAATTGTCGACTAAGAGGATTTTGAATTCCGTTACAATTTGGTAGAATACCTAATTCAGCTTCAACACCAGCTAATTCTTTTTTTAATGTTTCAATTCCTGTATAAGGTATTTGTCTGCCATCATATCCAATAAAAGAACCAGGTGAAGTTGACGAAACAATCCATTGGACTCTTGTAGGAGCTTCAGTTAAGTCATTTCTAAATAATGACCAATTTTCATCTAGTTCACTGGAAGCCTACATAAATGAAAAAGCAGTTGAGATTTATTGGACGTTAGATAATATTATTTCTTACCAGCAATAGTATCTTATGGATTGGATATATACTCCAATAATTCACTTCATGAGAGCTGAGTTGATTTTATAACTTGGGCATTAATTTACTAAGTGTAAATTTATCTGCATTTGTATGAGGACTCATTATGTTACCCGGCTGCTCAAAAACGCAATGGGTAGGACAGTCCTAGTTTGCAACACTGTTATTGAAGGTTAAATTCTCCAACTACTGAGCCAATACCTTACTTAGTAAACAGTTACACTCATAGTAAAGGAAATCAATTCGTGATTGAAGAACTGACAATTATTAGTGTTCTTGAGCTTACATAAAAACTCATGTTACGTCATTACTTCAACCCGAAAAATAGTGTACTAATTGTATTAATAACTCTATTTGTAAAGATATGAACATTATCAGATTCATCAATAACTAAATATCCACGAACGAAGTAAATCTGAAAAGTTTTAAAGATTATACGGACGGAAATGAAGCAATCTCAGTCAGTTAATCAGCTACAACGTAGGACCAGGTACATATATGCATCGGTTCAAGTTGCAGCAATCTATAGACGTTTCAACCATGTGACCACAAGTTCAGATCGGTAATTAATTTTTAGTATACTTAGTCCTTATTTAATAGAAATTTGATCAAAATAAGTATGCATGTGAGCCTATTAATGACTTTACCTGCAACATCTTCGTGAGAATAGTATCGTTTTAACGGGAGTATGCAGCGCTAGCTCATTTATCTAAAACGTCTCATAGAATTTTGTTGAGTTAATCCCTGATAGGATCTCAGTAACAACTCAAAAGACCCACTTGACTCTATTAATTTGCATCACCGGCGGCGTAAATAAGATATCAATCTCTACCAGACAAAAAGATGAGTATACTGAATAGCACTCCACTCTGTTCTACTCTATGGCTGTGTATCTTGGGTTCTGAAGGCAGAGAACATCCATCGACTACTAGTATTTGATCGTAGGTCAGTGGTCTTGAGTGCTGTTAGAGGTATGAGGGCGGTTGTAACTCCCCGGTTTCGCACACCAAAGAAGAGTCCTTCTAGTGCTACCTGAAAAGCAAATCCGGTTAGAGGTGGTCCTAGTGACCTGAGATCGTGACCACAGTGCCCAAGGGACAACTACTTGAAAACGGTCATATACGACTTTTATGTAGGCAATTTTTGTGTTAGCACCGTACTTTTTGAAGGCGACAGAAATCCGTGAGATAAGGCCAGGTGTTTATTTTTAGGGTAGACCTTTTGTAACCACACTCTTCCCTTTTGAGAAGGCAGCATCGCTGCTACGCTGATTGTCTGAGGGAAACATCTTACTTCTGTCACACTTCTGTACATTCCGTAGTAAAAATTCGCTCTCGGACCTTGCGTTTGTTTCTTTTAGTCTTACCGCTCTTAAAACGACCTGTCTGGCATGGTAGGACTTTGAGAGACGACTTCTCCAGCAAGTATAGCCCGACCACCACGTTAAGGTAGCCGCAACGGCTGAGTTGATCAAAGGTGTTGTCGAGTCACCGGTCGTGTGTTAAGAGCAGCTAATGAGCAGTGCTAAGGTTAGTTGCAGTGTACGGAGTAATGACGATAAAGCGGTTGGCGAGTCAAAGTATCTGTATCAACTGAAACAGTGGGGAAATGGATTACATGTACTCGAAACCACCTACTATGACGCTATGTCAGCTGGTGTAATAAGTTGAAGAAAAGCTACATGCGACTGAACCAAAAAAAACCTCAATTTGACTGGTCATTCGATTTTGGTGTGAGCCTAACTGGTGGATGCAAGCTACGTAAATATAATCCGTGCGGTTATCGTAACCAATTGCTGAAGATGTCAGGTAACGTGGCTGACAATCGGTTACAATAGCTCAGACGCACTTTGTTTACTCCTAGATCAAAATTACTTTTTATACCATATTTCACAGATTATTTTTTCCTACTGGGATAATACTGTCTATGCTTAGGCTTATTCCCAGCAAATTCCACTACTACTTTGGTATGAGTCTTGAAAATTTCATCAATCTATGAGGAGTAGGTATGGTAAATAGAGTCGACGTGTGTTCTATGTTGCTTTTCACAGACAGACTGACTGACATAAAATACCTAAGGATTCCAGTGTTGATTGGGTTATTAGCCTTCTGAAGTATTGGATATCCAGTTTCAGATGAAAAGTTATTCTCTAAATAATCAAGATAACTGGGAAATAATGACACATACCTAAGTTTTGAAACTTTGAGTTATGAGTGAGACAAAAATAAGATAAGGAAAACATCGGAGGCAAAACCAATATTTTCTACTTGAGAATTGATGTTTGTACATTGCGAAGAATTAAATACTAGTTTAACAAAATTTGGTGATTGTGTTTATTACCTAAAATAATTTGAGGGCACGCAAACTGATCCCTAAAACCATTTGCATGGCTAATGAGACATATTTTTGAAAGACTCGTAGGTAAATGTTTTTAAAAGCATCAAGTGTCGGAGCAGAAGTAACTATTCAAATAACTTCTGTTCGTTTGGAAATTTTAACTGTGAAACGGTTTGCGTAGTAGCAAACTGTATTTATACGTTACAATGAGATCTGGAAACAAAATATATCTAGCTGATTATTCAATACGAATTTCTGCAACTCAGGATGTAAATACGACCGGAGACTACTAGATGCTAAAAATAACGACATCATAAAGTACCTAAGTGAAGTAATCGGATAACAATGGTCAACAGAAAAAAGCTATAGGCTTTCAATTTCTTGCATAAGAGCCATAATCCTACCTTTTGAAGCCATTTTATTAAAAATTAGGATTGAAATATGAGGAAATCAAGAAAGATTACCATCTTTTAGATAAATCAAAGCCAGCCATTGGATTTCCTAACGAATTATGATCTTACTTGAAGATAATTACTAAATAACTACAAAAATAATGATGCAGTTGCACAGTTTCGAAATTGTGATTAAAATAATGTTTTTCTAGGAGAAAACCACCTGTAGCTGATATCGACCATCAGTCCATAAAGCAGCTTGATCTAAAGTGATAACAATAGAGCAGGAAGAACCTGTAAATCCAGAAATGAATGCACAACGCCTATCTGCAGTGCCCACATACTCATTAAAATGTTCATCTTCTGTTGGTAGTATATATCCTTGTAAATTTCTATCTTTCAATAAATTGCGAAGACGTGTCAGACGTCCCGAGCTAAATACTTTCTTCATTTTATACCTACAAGATATTACATAAGTTAAGATGAATTTTTATTACTCGTTTTCAGATACAATCTTACTGGATTAGGAACTGAAAAAAGTGGAGGTGTGTGGAATAATAGTAATAATAATAATACACTTTTCTGATACATATAGGCATATGTTTCAAATATCAACACAGTTTAAATCACGAAGCTAACAGCACTTTAATCAAACCTCAAACCAAGTCCTTTACATTAAAACACCACATTTGACAGCCGTAATTTAATACGGAATAAATAGTTAGGCAGCACAATTTTTCTGATAGGTGAATGCAAAACAATCAATACCAAGTACAAGTTTCAACTTTTAAACTCCAAAGTTGTTTCCATAGAACAATAATTAAGACGAGTCAGAAACCTTCAGGTTCCATGTGAATATATCATTACTTTTGGACCACGGTTATGAATAAATGCTTAGCCAATTACAAATATGTCCACAATCAGTATATATATATATATATATATATATATATATATATATATATATATATCGAAAAATCCAGACCCACAATATTCAGGATAAAAAGTTTTTAGCAAATGGTTTGTTCAAGAGACTATTCACTGAAAACAACAAATGCATTTTGTCCCTATTTATAATCATGGTCTAAACTGAGAATGTCTCGTCCCTGTGTATAAGGAAAAGGTGTCTTGTACTTAGTTTTTAATACGAATGGTGAGTTGGACATCAAATTCGGCATTCTCTAACGAAGATGACCATCAAGCTAAAAGAGAAGATATAACTTATAAGCCTAACCATTTATATTTTTTATAAAGTTGGAAAACTATAGAGTATAGCAGGGAAACTTATAACCTAAGTATTATCTCCAAATAGAAACATCTTGTTGACATCTATTCAAATGTAAGAACCACTTATACCAACCAGTGATGTATTTCTCGTCGAATAACTCGTAAAGACGGACATATTGGAAATAATAAACACTATTTTCAAACTATCGAGGATTAATAAGTCCTTCTAAGCTCACATAAAAATGGGTTTATTTATTCAAAACGATATATTTTTACTCGTAAAAGATAATCTATGTACAAAAAATGTTACGGAAAATGAGGTGGTAGGACAATACCAAGGTTCTGGAAATAAGAAATGTTTATTACACCATACGTTGTTTGCGTAAAAGTGTAATTCAATGATATACTAGAAAATTAGGCATTATTTAAAGTACGATGGTAATTGTGCAGAAAACTTTGAAGGAATTTTTACATACAATTGCTTTTTACGGTCATAAACAGCATCTCGTCCCAAGTAACCGTATTCGATAATTAGATAAGTTTTTAAGTCATGTGGAGCTAGCAAGTTTATACCTTCAAATGTACATGGAACTAAAGGAAAGAAAGAGTTATATGGGAACAATTTCTTTCTGCGGTCATATACACCAGGTAAATTCCAATTTACAAGTAAAGGTTTTAACTCATCGGAGGAATCTGAATAGGTAGATAGAGTGAACAAGTCAACATGTACTAATGATAGATCCGATAGTATATGACTTGCAATTTTTGAGTTTACATGATATAATTCGCAGGCCTTAAGTAAGCCATTAGTGCTGAAAAAGAACTTAATGCGTTTGCAATCACATCCATCGTATGGTAAATCTTCAATGGTTTCAGGCATATTGAATTTTTGTGCTTTAAGCCAAACGCTTTTACGGATACTGGCCGAAAAATCGATATATAGATCAGAATTGACATTGGTAAGCAGAGAATCATCCATATTTTCCACACCGAAAACACTTATGCCATTTTTTAGACAGCAGTGAATCAGTTTAGTGTATGAACTGTTTCCTTCAGAATCAAATTCTAAAATACCCAAGTCAATATCTGTATCATGCGGTATGAATTTCCCATGTTCACGGAATACTGACAAAGCTGTACCACCATAAACAAATGGTTCCAAGTCAGCAGCTCTGCATAAATCTAATACAGATTTTAGTAAGTGAACTCTTAATGGTTTAAGACGCCGACTCTGGCGTATAATACGCCGAACATTTTTTAAAGAACACGTTCCAAACATATTGAAACTTATGTGGGATTCAGGATTTGAGACGGTATCAGCTGATTCCTCGTCACTGATATAAGAATGAAAAAAGGGGAATTCCTGTAAATCTACTTCATTTGATTTACACTGATCCATGAAGCCGTTATAACTATTAACCTAGAAACAAAAAACATAAAACTGGTTAGGACACACATTTTTGAATATCAGTAAAGTATTTCTGTTAGCCTGAAAAATCATTGTTGTAGATTTCATTGAAATTAACAGAATCCTTTGGAAGAATCTTACCTATTGCATCGTGAATTTCGAAAGCAGAAAAATTCAACAGAAAACCAGTGATTTTATATTATAAATTAGTGTTAAAATACTCCGGTAAAGACCACATGAAATGCATTCGATACTTCAACAAATAGCAGAGCTATAACTTGCCCGTATAACTCCACAACTAATAGGTACTAAGTCACATAGAAGCACAAGGCTCGTTTAATTTGTTTAGTATAGGTGGGTTGTATTCAATAGCTCTGACAATCAGTTCAGCTCAAAAACAAGTACATAAACACTAACCCTGTACATAGTTGCTCAGTTAGACTCCATCAAACTAATAAATATGTATGTTGGTGAAAATAAAGACCGTCCATTAATCCTTTCTAAATGCAGGAAATCAGATATTTAACCACTGTCTAAGGAGAATTAGTTTTTTGATACAAAAATATAATCCATAGTGTTTTAGTACTAACTCTACAAACGTTTGTACAGTTAGAGAGCAAACAAATTGATAAGCTAAAATGATAAGAACATTTTGGTAGAAAAGCCATGTTGGTGGAAATAATATTGGCCAAAACTGTGAGATATGATAAACGTAACTCAACTCACTAGCCCATAATTTCCCAAACAACCAATAAAGGGGAAATAAAGGCGAACAAAGGGGAAATAAAGCGGAAAATGCATTGGAAAATAAGTCGTAAATAAAGGGGAAATGCATCGAAATGTCTGCTTTTTCGCCTGTCCGGGGGAAATAAAGCGTAATTTCCCCTTTCTGTCGCTCTGTTTTTCAAATGTCGCTAAATTACCGATTTCTCCCCTAAATATCCGACGAATAACCGACTTTTCCCCTAAATAACCGACGAATAGCCGACTTCTCCCCTAAATATCCGACGAATAGCCGACTTTCCCCCTTTAAAATCCGACGAATAGCCGACTTTTCCCCTAAATATCCGACGAATAACCGACTTTTCCCCTTAATATCCGACGAATAGCCGACTTTTCCCCTAAATATCCGACGAATAGCCGACTTTTCCCCTTAATATCCGACGAATAGCCGACTTCAATTGAAGTTGACAATTTTTCAAATGAGATATACCGTTGTAGCACGTTGTATTTCGACGTTTACTTGAGAGCAGGAGCGACCTGAAACAGCAACACAACAGTCAGGACAGACAAGTGCTTCTGAAGTGAGAACACGGTGTGCTGGTGCAACATATATTTGAAATTCAAAAACGCGGTTTTTAGTACAAAAGGGGAAAGTTATTACAAAATAGTTTTACTCGTTATTCTGCAGGTTCAGACCGCGTAGGGCTTGTTCTTCTTCTTCCCGTGCATTCACTCTTTGTTGCCCTGCAATGAGAAATGCAAACTCTTATTATTAATGTTGCATGTAATGATTTTTAACCGTTACACCGCTGCTTTTTGAATATTTCAGGTTTCTAAATGACCTTCACACACCCAGTCGCTTTTTCGAGACGTTGATAAAAAACAATGGCAAGGCATTTTAAGACTGAATCAGATCAACATAATAGTGAGTTATCCGTGTACCACAATCCAATTAGTGTTTTCAAATATTGTTCATATAATATTGTATTTTTCACAATGTTTTGTTTTCGTCTGTCGCTCGAAGGGGTCAACAATTGTCGATTTTGCGATACATTCTACGGTTGTTCGCTGAATAATGGTTGACGACAGGCTGACATTAGAACACCCACCTGATTTTTTAAACTCTACTCAACTGTTGTATAGGGTGTTAAACTCCTGCACTTGTAGACAACAATCTGCGTTAATACACATGCACAGATGACTTAGTACAAAGTAGTCAGCATAAGAATGTGGACAACAGCATATTTTTCCTTTTGTCGCTGACTAGTTTCTGTGTTCAATCAGACAACAAACCACCCCATATATGTGACGATTGTGCACCTCCAATCTACTTGGTTGTACAGGAATTGATCTCGAGAGGACAATATTATTCCTTTTATCTTGCGGTTTATAACTATCGCATCTTATATGGATGTATCCTGAAGTAATTAGAGAACATTTCACATCTTCGATGAGTCCTGTTTCCGCGACGATAATTATATGAGAATGTAACTTCATCACCATCGCTTTGTCTCCGAGACTATGAGTATTTGCAGAGCACATGCTTATGAAGTTTTGAGAATCATTTGTTCTAACCATACAGGTTTTGGAGGCATTGGCTTCCAAGCTCTGCTTTTTAAGGACTTGAATGCTTAGTTTTGTTTCTCCAATTTTCTTCCGAGTTTTCAACATAGTGGGAGCATTCTTCCACTCATTTTGGTCTTCGAGTGGCCAATCTAGCCGGACACGAACACTGGAGTTGCGGATTTCGTACGCGTTATTTACGGTATCACTTCTTTCCTCGTTACTTCTAAATACCAACTTCGAAACACTGTTTGGTCCTCCTTTCAAAACTCTTGCCGATACCTATCGCCCTTGTATTGTGTACTCCTGAAGTCTCTAGTGCTTGTGCATTCCTGACAGTGAATTTTATCATCAGTAGATTGTGTACATGCTTTCTATCAGGATCGCTTCAGCCAGACATCATTCCCTACAAATCAATGCGAAGCTGGTTTGGAATATCAAGTTTCAGCCTCATGCGTTCCCATTTTACAATGTGATAAGATAATTATCAATGTCACATATTAATTCAGTCAAATAGCAATAAACGAATTGTATCGGTTGGCGATGATAAATGCCCGGAACGTGATTTCATTAGAAATTATGTTTCGGAGTTAAATGAAATGAATTTGAACGCCTCACACAAGGAAACTAATAATTAAATAAATTATTAGAATGTTCTCAGTCGCCGTTGACGCATATAAGCAATTCAAGTGTGCAACGCCCGAAAGTTCGTAACAGTACATGTCGCTAACCTACAGAAGCAATGTTTACTCGTGGCCAGTGACAGGCCACCCATCTTACGCAACTATCTCTTACAGCCATCACGCTGCGCTAATAGGAAAACGTTGCTGCAAACTTTTTGATAAAACGATATTTACTAGTGGTGGTTAATGTACAAACTAATGATCCCTTTGTATTTGGCTGCCCTCTGAATACGAACTCCGAATATAATACATTTACTTGTACTCATCTAACTGTACTTGTCGTGAATCGAACTAGTTCGGATATTCTTAGTTAGCTCAATAAATCTTATCATCATAGGAACCTTATGTCAAAAAGGTAAGTGAACTCAGCTCTAGAAAACGGTGAATATGAATGCACAGATACACACAAATATAAAACGCTTCAACTAGTGTAAGCTGGTGCAAAAACATGTGAAAAATAACTTTAGAAGTCCAAATACCTCTTAAAAGCGTTAAATATGATCTTAGATCCTGGTTCCAGCGTGGCAAAAACAATTGAAATTGGGATGATCAGAATTATTCGAAGTTTTACGAACTAGGAATTCCCGAAATAGTGTAATTTGCAGCAAGTAGAACTCGATGAGCACAAATGAACTTATCCAATTTAGAATTCGGAATCAGGCAGTCATCAAGTACAAAAGAATCAATAGTTCACACAAATAGCACAGGAACCTACTGATAAAAATGACTTTTTCACAAGTTCCGCTATTAGTCAATTTAATTTGTAAAGGCGTATTACAATCCTGAGCACAAACACGATCCCACATACAAAAGCGCATCTCAACCAAATAAAGATCTGCCAATTTTTTCCATAACACTCAATAGTTTCATACTGACATTCTTAGTTACGTCCTCTATTTGACAATTTATTACCTTGTGAATAATCAGTGAGCTTTTTTTTTAAGATGACTAGTCATGTGGTTGACAGTAATACAAAAAATATTGTATTTAATTATATTAATCCAAATATGCTCCTTTCACTTCAAAGAAACGGAAAGTGGATAATTCAAAAAAAGAACTCTACTTGGACTGAATGTGTGAAATAATATGTGAGACTATCATCTGTGGAAATATTGTCATTGAGGATTTAAAATATAGCCTACGTATTGTTACTTTTTTCTTCCTTGGTGGCCCCCAGTGATACATGTGTTTTTTCTGTTATCTCAGTCTCCGGAAAAACCTACGACGTATGATCGGCGAGTTTTATGTGTTATATCCTGTGGAGAATTATGAATGATAACTCCGAGGGCTTTTTATGGACCGATGTGATATGTATGTTTCCTATTGTATAATTGTTAAGTGACTTAATTATTCATATTAATGTTCCCTTCATTATGAGCTTTATTTTGACCCATAGACTACTACTTCACGATTTACCATTCCTGAGTTATACCCAGTCTATTGATTACTGTTCCCCCTATTCACAACTGCATTTGGCCAAATCTTGTACAAATGTTATTTTCTATTTTATGGTACGATATGGTCAGTTTGTGTTGGTAATATGAATCCACTATGTTTGCGAATAATGATCCATATTGCAGAGGCTGTTATTGGTGTTCTGGACTTTACTGGCTGGGCTAGGCAGAAAGCAGGACTGACAAGTACTCAAGACTGCTCATACGACTTTTGTGTATTATTGATCCGATCTATAAATCCACTCCTCTCTAATTGAGCATTCATATATCAAACAGGGCACGCACACATTCATACGTTATAACATTATGTATAAGTGTTGAAATGTGATCCGTGGATACTGCATTGATAGAGATATCATCAAGACATTTGTGACCTGTCTTCATTACTGTATTATTCTTGACTTTGATTAATTTTCATATCTCACACTATTTTTTGATATATTTATAGAAGCGGAAAAATTTCTGGTGATCCTAAGTATCAATTGCATCATCAAATTCGATTACAAAGAAGTCCAATTCTGGTGTTCATCCAATACTCCCACAATTTCATTCCATTTGTGTTCATTCAATGTAATCATAATTCAGTTGTTTATTAATGGTGTATCTGATGGTGAATTCAGTTATTGAAGCACACAATGAGAACATTTGAACTCTAGTTCCTACTTGATTCCTTTATCCCCAGTCATCGATTTAAAGACAGCGAACATAACAAGAGTTCCATAATTAAATGTTGAACGAAATAATTAGTTGCTAATCTTAAAATATAATTAGGGATGAGCGGAAAAAAAGATTACAGCAGATAAAAGGTAAGGTTGAGAACATAGCAGAATAAGCTATCGACACGCTATATTTGTACACAATGATTAAGTTCAAGTTGTTGGATATACATAAGTTCTTAATTTCCATCCTTTTTGAGCAGATTATCCTAGCCGCGACGTGATTTTGAAGAAGGATTCAGGCGAAGCGGTCAAAAGCAACTAGATGTCTCAAGATTGAACCTCAAACCGAATTTTACAGTCTTTAATTAACCAAGCAGGGTAATGTTTAGAGATTCATTTTAAATAACATGTAAAAAAAGGTTGTGCTATGACTATATATAAAGAATGTAGAATAATTCTCACCGTCCGCATTTTTCTTTCCTCCTAATAATCTGTTTCACGTCATGCTACTTTTCAGTAGTATAGAAATATGAAGAAAAGGATTGGCGAATTGTTGAATGAGTCATATCTGCTGCAAGATGTAAAATAATTCATTACCCATGTTCACAATTTCTTTTCAAGTTTATAAAGTATTTCAGGACTTGTGAATATATTTAAGAACCTAACTTTTAGAATTATTATGGTCTACAACACCACTCGTTAGCTGTGTAAAACACCTCAAAAGATTAGGATTGACATATATATTTGTTTACTACGTAAGTTTACGATTGGTTGATCACTTAGTAGTCATCCATTTTTATTTAGAGGTTGTACTGCTGAACACATTTAATCACCTACGATCACTAAATTTAATTTACATCTATTCGGTTTCAGTAACTACAAACTGACACCACTCAGTGGATGCTTAAAAGCGCAGAGAGCTATTTCGTCTTTTTTTGAACATATTCAAATATACACACTAAATATTTCCTGGGATAAAGCAACAAATTTAGTCTAAGTAACTCTGTGGTGTATAGTTAAACTAGATTTTTTTGTAATAAGCTTAGATAAAACTTGCATTTTTCATCAACTCCTACGATTTGTACGATCACCATTAATGCCTATTACGTTGTTGTTCCAAAAACATAAACGTTGAACTTCCAATCCGGTTTGTGAACATACATAACATTACTCATTGAATATCGCTCACAAATACACCACTGCATACATAGACTATCCTAGTTTCTAAACAGACCAATTTATTTATTCTTCTCATGCCACA